CACCACACATTCTGTAATCCAGCACAGGTCTCTCTCTCTCACACACACACAGACACAAAATGAAGATCTCCACGTGTCGCCTGAACACAATGTTGTGGACAATTTCTGATCGCGAGCATCTGTGAAGATCGGCACGGCACACGAAGTGGGTTGGTGACCAGCAACCACAGCCCAGCCGTCTTTGTCTCGTTTTAGGCCGAGTAGACCTTGGAGAGGCCCAGGACCCGGTTGAGACAATCGCCCCATGCGTTTGCCGTGAGTGGGAATCCCAACTCGTGGCGCTAACCGCTGCGCCACCGCTCTCCACACACAGACACATAAGATCTATACATACTTGCCGACGGTGGTAAATTGCCGGTTTTAATGCGATAAACATCACGGCCAATTACTGAAGCCTCTTTGCTTCGTACTATTACAGTCAATCAATGCGCAGATGATCACGAGCATAGAACGGTATCAATTGTCCTTGAAATGTTAAAATAAACCCTTGCGAAACTCTTAACTTGACCGCTTAAAAGCGTTTTTTTTTCTCTTAAAACACTTATGTTATAAGTTAACGGAAACGAACACTTTTGGTTTTTTTAAACCGACTGTATTGATGAAATGCACCGCACAAACGCGTTCAACTTGCACCCGTGTATCTTCACTGGCAGCAAAGTTGGCATAATGTGCAACGTTGAAATGCCAAGAACTGTACTTGGTCTGTGCACAAACTCACAATCAACGCATTGTTTGCAAGGCAAGTTTGGGAATTACTATAAACTGTACATTTAGGGCCCGTTCTTTCTGTTTGCAAAAAAAAAAATGCTGCTCCATTAATTCACGAAGTGTTAGGTTCCAAAGTTTTTTACGAACCATTTAAAAAAACAAATCCATGCCCCCTTGCCAAATAATATTAATAATGCGTTAAATCAAAGAGTGGCTGTGCACATGCGCACGTCATGAGTTTCTGAGAAGGGAAATGTATCTTTGAGCAAACTTGAAGGTGGGGTATTATTTAATATACAGCATTTTGGACTAATGATTCACATCCTGAACCACGCTCACAGACGTTGCACACACACACACACAAAGCATAAGCGTGATGTGTGACCTTGTGTTAAACCTCAACTCTGGTCAAACTTTTCACCCAAACGTTTGCACCCCCAAACCAAGATTTCTCGGGAAGATTGCAGCGAATGCATTCATTAGGTAGGGGTGGAATTGTTTGTATGCTGCAGTTAAAATGTGTACACGTGCCTCTTGATTTCTGCTGGAGACAAGGTCGTGAGCCAACAACAATCATTGTCATGAATACTGAGATTAGTTCGCGTAAATATAAATGTGTCGTTAAACCCGCCACCACCCGACACAGCCAATTAATGAGGTTTGTCACGTAAATAAAACATGCCAATTCCTTACTCGATGTGCTGGAGAGCAAACCCCACAAGTTGTGTGCCGTGGTCGAATTGTAAAGGTTTGTGGACTTTACTCTCCAACTCAACTCGTAACGAATTGGCTACGTTCTGTTTACGTGACAAACTTCACTGGCTGTGTTGGGTGGTGGCGGGTTTAACGACACATTTATATTTACGAGATCTAACCCAGAAACCTCTTATTATAGATATTGATCGCAAAAGCCGACTACGCGTTAAACCAAAATGAATACTGCAGTACAATTGTGAATAATATATGTACATACACGAGAAAGATAGATTTAATAAAGGCTTCTCTACCATTCGATGGTAGAAAAACGAATGGATTTTAAATGCCATCGGGCCTAGCCTTTGGATGACTGTCTCATAATGCAACATGATTAAAGAGAAGCTGATGCAATTATCCAAGCTCTCACAATCCTATAGATATATATATATACACATTCATACTGTAGATGTCTTGAAGAATTATTTAGGAAAGGTTTCTCTACCATCGGACAAACACACGTCCAAATACAATTGTGTCTGGGCTTTTTAAGACAAATAAAAAGCATTTGACTCAAAGCAGAATGTCAGTTTTCCAAGCTCTCAGAAACGTACGTGTATAACATGACATTCTTGTATACGAGTTACAGTATATAAAGTAGTGTTAGGTATATACGTGCCTACACGTACCTACAATAGATAACGAACACACAGACGTAACTAAATACATACCGTATACACACAAAGACACACACATATATAATACAAAAAAGTAGAATAACAGCATGTAAGAAATGTTAATAAGACTGATGCAGACACACATGAAAATGATGGATAAAATAATGAATAGCACCATCCAAGCTTTTGCTATCTAAGTAACTGTAAAGGTCACTTACTGTACACGGCCATCATGGGGTGATTGATTGATATCCACTTTTAATAAGCCCGTGGGAAGTCATAAGTCACGCCAATAGTTCCAATTCTTAGTGGCCTTAGAGAAAGTGTAGAGCTGTACGAGTATATATATACACACACACATGGTAGTGTCAAAAAAGTTTGCCTGCAACAACTAACAAAAAGTTCGTGCGTCCAACGTGTGATCATCGTAAAGGTACAATTACCACGTGTGAATTCCCATTCAAAGCCATGCATGGGAATCACCAAACGAATGTTGTTAATCACGCAATGAATATAACAACACAATAATCCCACCACCACCAACACCACCACCACCACCATACTCGTCTCAAGAAACAAAAAGTTTGAGACCGTGAAAAATAAATTAAAAAGTCACGGCGTTGGTCGTTCATCAATTGTCACATTTGTAGAAGTTTTAAAAAAATGTTTCGCCTGCAGCTTTTGTGAGCTGTAGTTTGCACCGCTTTAGCAAATCGGTGGTTCGAGGTCGATTGCCGGCATCCACAGACTACTCAGTCCATCCGACTGTACGGCACGTGGCCGGGAGGACAGGCTCACTCACTTAATCACAAAGCTGCTGATGATGATGATGCTGCTGATGCTGATGTTGTTGATGATGCTGATGATGATGCTGCTGATGCTGCTGATGATGTTGTTGATGATGCTGTTGCTGATGATGCTGCTGCTGCTGATGCTGTTGATGATGCTGATGATGATGCTGATGATGATGCTGTTGATGATGCTGATGATGATGCTGTTGATGATGATGCTGATGATGCTGATGATGCTGTTGATGATGATGCTGATGATGATGATGCTGATGATGCTGCTGATGATGATGACGATGCTGATGATGCTGCTGATGATGATGACGATGCTGATGATGATGATGCTGCTGATGATGATGCTGCTGATGATGCTGATGCTGTTGCTGATGATGATGCTGATGATGCTGCTGATGATGCTGTTGCTGATGATGCTGATGATGATGCTGATGATGATGCTGATGATGATGCTGATGATGCTGCTGATGCTGCTGATGCTGATGATGCTGTTGATGACGCTGATGATGATGTTGATGATGCTGTTGCTGATGCTGCTGATGATGATGTTGATGATGCTGTTGATGATGATGCTGATGATGCTGCTGATGACGATGCTGCTGATGATGATGCTGATGATGATGCTGACACGTGGACATGATGCGTGGTGTAATATACTTGCTACCAATGGATCCACAACACACACATTATGTAAGTCACGCTCGTGGGATAACCAAGTTCGCGTTCACTCAAAGGAGATGAGAGGGGGGGGGTGACGTGATTGAACGGCATTGTAATTACACAGCAAGGCGGCCATTCGAAACTCTGTGGCAGTGATGTCACCGCAGCGATTGTGCCAGGCTAGGTGCACTTTGAGGCTGTATAGACTATGAAGGCCGACACGGCACACGAGATAATTTGATGGAACAACATCACCACGCCCGAACGCCTTTGTCTCCCCGGTGGTGGTGTTAACACATCTCACCAGCTACTCACTTAAGGCCGAGTCGATCTAGGGGAGATCCAAGAACCGGTCCAGATATCCGTCACCGATGTTGACTTTGAACGGGAAATCGAATTCGGTTCGCCCGGCAAACCACTCCACTACCACTACCCCCAATGGAGAACACACACACAGACACACACAACACGTGGACATTCACACGTGTACACACAACACGTGTAGACACACAACACGTGTACACAGACACACAACACGTGTAGACACAACACGTGTAGACGCACCACGTGTACACAGACACACAACACGTGTACACACAACCCGTGTAGACACACAACACGTGTACACAGACACACAACACGTGTAGATACAACACGTGCACAAACGTGTAAACACACAACACGTGTAGACACACTACACGTGTACACTAACACGTGTACATTAACACGTGCAGACACCACGTGTACATTGACACGTGTACACACACAACACGTGCACACACACAACACGTGGGGACACACACCACGTGTAGACACACTAACACGTGTATACACTAACACGTGTATACACTAACACGTGTATACACTAACACGTGTATACACTAACACGTGTATACACTAACACGTATACACACAACACGTGTATACACAACACGTGTATACACTAACACGTGTACGTACAACACGTGTACGTACAACACGTGTATACACAACACGTGTACGCACAACACGAGTACGTACAACACACAACACGTGTACATTAACACGTGTACACACACAACACGTGTACACACAACACGTGTACGTACAACACACAACACGTGTACATTAACACGTGCACACACACACCACGTGTAGACACACAACACGTGTACATTAACACGTGTACACACAACACGTGTAGTACAACCCACAACACGTGTACACAACACGTGGACACGATGGGGATGTAATGTCCTTGCCATCACTATTGGCAGATTACAATTCAACGTTGGATCGGTGTACCAAGTCAGCACAAACTTTATCATCTCACTAACAGGCGAATTGTCCAGCAGCAGGCAAGCGGAATCATCAGCAAGATTGGATATCATCGTAAAGAGAGGATCTATGTGATGACAACAGCAACACAAGAACACAAAATCAGTAACACAATCACACGAATCGAGATGTACTCACTCACCTGGGTTAGACAGAGCGGTGAATACATCGCTGGTGACGCTGATATTTTGGCAAACTTTCGTTTTCCTCTTCAAATAAAAAAAAGTATTTTAAAAAACGCCGTAAATATATATACTCAAACACAGATGTACTCCTTTAAATGCAGATCTTCTGTCGATTTGTCCAGCCTATTGCAACTGTATCGCGTAGCATAAATACATAAACTTACACGAATTTTTCAATTGTTATTTTATATATAAAAATAACGCGCAAGAATACGGAGGAGAGAACGCAAATAAAGTAGTTTTCTTGAGTCGTCGATTCGTAGTTGCTAAATTCACTTAATGATCGTTTCGTCTTCTTGCTTCACGTGTTTTGTGTCCTTGCTTGCTCGGCTTCTGGTAGGGCTGTAAATCCTTGCTTGTCGATCTCACGATTCACAAGAATTATTAATAATTACACTGATTATATCATCCTTCCTCGTGTTAAGTGATAGGCAAAACAAGCCTGCATTGAATACTGAACTCATATATATAATAACCACCTACACCGTGCCTCGTTCAGTTCACTCTCTCCGCATGTTACAACCGCATCAAAAAAAAATCCTCGTGGAATTAAAGTCTTTTTTTTCTTTCAATATATATACCGCAAATAATAATCCTTCGAAGCTAAGCTAGCACATCTCCCACCCCTCTGTACGCACAATATTTTCTACGCAGCCGATGTATATACTTAGGCTTCTATTTTATTATTATTAGCGACGACGAAGGCGACGCTCGAGTGCGTCTCGTCCTCCTGCCCGCGTCGCCCCAAATGCGACTCCCAAGTCGCGCCTGCTGGCCCCGGGCACTGTGTGTGTGTGTCTGTGTGTGTGTGACTGTGTGTGTGTCTCTGTGTGTGTGTGTGTGTGACTGTGTGTGTGTGTGTCTCTGTGTGTGTGTCTGTGTGTGTCTGTGTGTGTCTGTGTGTGTGTCTCTGTGTGTGTGTGTGTGTGACTGTGTGTGTGTGTGTCTCTGTGTGTGTGTGTGTCTGTCAGTGTGTGTCTGTGTGACTGTCTGTGTGTGACTGTGTGTGTGTGTCTGTGCGTGTGTCAGTGTGTGTGTGTCTGTGTGTGTCAGTGTGTGTGTGTGTGACTGTGTGTGTGTCTGTGTGTGTGTCAGTGTGTGTGTGTGTCTGTGTGTGTGTGTGTCTGTGTGTGTGTGTCAGTGTGTGTGTCTGTGTGTGTGTCTGTGTGTGTGTCTGTGACTGTGTGTATGTGTGTGTCTCTGTGTGTGTGTGTCTGTGTGTGTGTGTCTGTGTGTGTGTGTGACTGTGTGTGTCAGTGTGTGTGTGTGTCAGTGTGTGTGTGTGTCAGTGTGTGTCTGTGTGTGTGTCTGTGTGTGTCAGTGTGTGTGTGACTGTGTGTGTGTGTGTCAGTGTGTGTGTGTGTCAGTGTGTGTGTCTGTGTATGTGTGACTGTGTGTTACTGTGTGTGTCTGTGTTTCTGTGTGTGTCTGTGTGTGTGTCTGTGTGTGTGTCTGTCTCTGTGTGTCTCTGTGTGTGTGTGTCTCTGTGTGTGTCTCTGTGTGTGTCTCTGTGTCTCTGTGTGTGTCTCTGTGTGTGTCTTTGTGTGTGTCTCTGTGTCTCTGTGTGTGTGCCTGTGTCTCTGTGTGTGTCTCTGTGTGTCTCTGTGTGTGTCTCTGTGTGTCTGTGTGTGTGTCTCTGTGTGTGTGTCTCTGTGTGTGTGTCTGTGTCTCTGTGTGTGTCTCTCTGTGTCTCTCTGTATGTGTCTCTCTCTGTGTGTCTCTGTGTGTGTCTCTCTCTGTGTGTCTCTGTGTGTGTCTCTCTCTCTGTGTGTCTCTGTGTGTGTCTCTGTGCGTCTCTCTGTGCCTGTCGCCTGTGTGTGTCTGTGTGTGTGTGTGTGTGCACGTGCGTGCTACAATCTGGCCGTAGTGGTTTCAACGCCCGCCGATGTGAATCTGTGGAGGAGAATGGAGGCAGGCTTGTGTGTAGGGGTGTGGTGGTGGTGGTGGTGGCGGTGGTGGTAGACCGGGGAGAGGGGATGTGAGAGAGTGGAGGGGAAGGGGGAGGAGGAGGAGGAGAGGCGATGGCGATAGGAGGGGGAGGAGGAGGGTTGTTTGGTGGTAGTGGCGTTCGTCTGTGTGGGTCGTGGAGGGGAGCAGTGAAACCACGAACTTGCTGAGAGTTGGAGGGAAGGGTGGGGGGCTCTGTGTATGATGGGGGGGGGGGGGTAAGGAAAGTGAAGGGAGGTGATGGTGGTGGTGGGGGGGGAATAGGCGACCCCCGTCTTCGCGAACCCGCTCGCTAAAGAAGTTGCGACACGTGTGTTGTGTGTGTGTGCTGTGTGTGTTGTGTGTGCTGTGTGTTGTGTGTGTGTTGTGTGTGTGCTGTGTGTGTGCTCTGTTGTGAGTACTGTGTGTGTGTGTTGTGAGTGTGTTGTGTGTGTGCTGTGTGTGTGATGTGTGTGTGCTGTGTGTGAGTGCTGTGTATTGTGTGTGTGCTGTGTGTGTGTGCTGTGTGTTGTGTGTGTGTTGTGTGTGCTGTGTGTATGCTGTGTGTGTGTGCTGTGTGTATGTTGTGTGTGTGCTGTGTGTGTTGTGTGTGCTGTGTGTTGTGTGTGTGCTGTGTGTTGTGCTGTGTGTTGTGTGTGTGTGTTGTGTGTGTGTTGTGTGTGTGCTGTGTGTGTGCTCTGTTGTGAGTACTGTGTGTGTGTTGTGAGTGTGTTGTGTGTGTGCTGTGTGTGTGATGTGTGTGTGCTGTGTGTGAGTGCTGTGTGTTGTGTGTGTGCTGTGTGTGTGTGCTGTGTGTTGTGTGTGTGTTGTGTGTGCTGTGTGTATGCTGTGTGTGTGTGTGCTGTGTGTATGTTGTGTGTGTGCTGTGTGTGTTGTGTGTGCTGTGTGTGTGCTGTGTGTGTGCTGTGTGTGTGCTGTGTGTTGTGTGTTGTGTGTGCTGTGTGTGTGTGTGTGTTGTGTTGTGTTGTGCTGTGTGTGTGTTGTGTGTGCTGTGTGTTGTGTGTGTGCTGTGTGTGTTGTGTGTGCTGTATGTGTGTTGTGTGTGCTGTGTGCTGTGTGTGTTGTGCTGTGTGTGTGTTGTGTGTGTGCTGTGTGTTGTGTGTGTGTTGTGTGTGTTGTGTGTGTGTGTTGTGTGTGTGCTGTATGTGCTGTGTGCTGTGTTTGCTGTGTGTTGTGTGTGCTGTGTGTGCTGTGTTGTGTGTGCTGTGTGTGTGCTGTGTGTGCTGTGTTGTGAGTGTGTTGTGTGTGTGCTGTGTGTGTGCTGTGTGTGTTGTGAGTGTGTTGTGTGTGTGTGTTGTATGTGCTGTGTGTTGTGTGTGTGCGCTGTGTGTACTGTGTTGTGTGTGCTATGTGTTGTGTGTGTGCTGTGTGTGTTGTGTGTGTGTGCTGTGTGTTGTGTGTGTGCTGTGTGTGTGCTGTGTGTGTTGTGCTGTGTGTGTTGTGCTGTGTGTGTGCTGTGTTGTGTGTGCTGTGTGTGTTGTGTGTGCTGTGTGTTGTGTGTGTTGTGTGTGCTGTGTGTGTGCTGTGATGTGTGTTGTGTGTGCTGTGTATGTGCTGTGTTGTGTGTGTGTGCTGTGTGTGTGTGTGTGCTGTGTGTGTGTGTGTGTGCTGTGTGTGTGTGTGTTGTGTGTGTGCTGTGTGTTGTGTGTGCTGTGATGTGTGTGCTGTGTGCTGTGTGTTGTGTGTGTTGTGCTGTGTGTGTTGTGTGTGTGTGCTGTGTGTTGTGTGTGCTGTGATGTGTGCTGTGTGTTGTGCTGTGTGTGTGCTGTGTGTGTTGTGTGTGTGCTGTGTGTTGTGTGTGCTGTGTGTGTGGGGAGGTGTGTGTGTGCGTGTGTGGGGGTGTGTGGTAGTGTGTGTGTGTGTGTGGGGGTGTGTGTTGTGTGTGTGCTGTGTGTTGTGTGTGCTGTGTGTGTGGGGAGGTGTGTGTGCGTGTGTGGGGGTGTGTGGTAGTGTGTGTGTGTGTGGAGGTGTGGGTAGGGGTGTGTGTGTGTGGGGGTGTGTGTGCGTGTGTGTGTGTGCGTGTGTGGGGGCGTGTGTGTGCGTGGGGGTGTGTGTGTGGGTGTGTGTGGTATTGTGTGTGCGTGGGTGAGAGTGTGCGGGGGTGTGCGTGGGTGTGTGCGTGGGTGTGCGTGGGGGTATGCGTGGGTGTGCATGGGTGTGTGCGGGTGTGTTCGTGGATGTGTACGAGTGTGTGTGTGGGGGTGTGTGTGTATGTGGAGGTATGTGGGGGGGTGCGCGTGATTGAGCGGTGGTGCAGCGGTTAGCGCGCTGCGCTACGAACCCGACATCCCGAGTTCGATTACCGCTCACGGCCAACACCGGTGACGATTATCTGAAGCGGTCCTGGGCCTCTCCCTAGGTCGACTCAGCCTCAAATAAGTACCTGGTGCGGTGTGTAAACATCGTCATTGGAGAGACAAAGGCGGCCGGGCGTGGCTCTGGCCACCCACCCCCTCGTGTGCCGTGCCAGCCTTCATAGGTGCTCGCTAACAGCACTTGCCCCAACATTCTGCTAAGGCTACACGGGGCATCTTTGTCTTTGTGTGGGGGGGTGGGGGGGGGTTGCGGTAGTGCAGCTGTTAGCGCTACGAACCCGGCGACCCGAGTTCGTTTCCTGCTCTCAGTCAACACAGACGACTTATAGTTGAACCGGGACCTCCCCCTAGGTCGACTCAGCCGTAAACGAGTACCTGGTGCGGTGTGAAAACGGCACCACGATGGAGACCCCACCCACCTCTTGTGGGTGGGGGTCTTTGTCTTCTTTGTGGTGGTGTGAGTTGTGTGTAGGTGTGTTTAGCAGAGGTGGGACAAAGTCATTGTTATGCAAGTCCAAGTCGAGTCTGAAGTCATCAAATTCATGACTCGAGTCTGACTCGAGTCCAAGTCACATGACTCGAGTCCACACCTCAGAGGTGGGACAAAGTCATTGTTATGCAAGTCCAAGTCGAGTCTGAAGTCATCAAATTCATGACTCGAGTCTGACTCGAGTCCAAGTCACATGACTCGAGTCCACACCTCAGGTGTTTAGGTGTGTTTAGGTGTGTGTACGACTGTACTCAGTAGGGGGGGGGGTGTGCATGTGTGGTAAAGGCCATGCGGGGGATCTTTGTATGTGCGGGTGTACGTGTGGGTATGTGCGTGTGTGCGTGTGTGGGTCTGTGCGTGTGTGTGTGGTTGCGTGTGTGTGTGGGTGCGTGTGTGGGTGTGTGTGGGTCTGTGTGGGTATGTGCGTGTGTGTATGGGTGTACGTGTGGGTATGTGCGTGTGTGGGTGTGTGTGTGTGTGTGGGTGTACGTGTGGGTATGTGCGTGTGTGGGTGTGCGTGTGTGCGTGTGTGGGTCTGTGCGTGTGTGTGTGTGGGTGTACGTGTGGGTACGTGCGTGTGTGGGTGTGTGTGTGGGTGTACGTGTGGGTATGTGCGTGTGTGGCTGTACGTGTGTGGGTGTACGTGTGGGTCTGTGCGTGTGTGTGTGTGTGGGTGTACGTGTGGGTACGTGCGTGTGTGGGTGTGTGTGGGTGTACGTGTGGGTATGTGCGTGTGTGCGCACGGGGTGTTCAGCACTATCGCAGCCAAACGCAGGACACGCCAAACACAAAGCTGCCCCATCGAGCCTTGAACCAAGTCGCAGACGCACACATACAGGCGTGCACACTCCATGTGCCCACGCAGACTGACGCACACGCGTACAGAGACACGCCGAAGACACAATCCAGAAGCACACCGTGATTACACACATCACACGCGTGTGACGTGCTTACACACATCACACGCGTGCACATACGCAGACTCGCGTGCGGAAAATAAACACAGACGCACGCACGGACGTGTTCCCGCACACACAGAAGCACTCACACAGAAGCACACACACACAGAAGCACACACACACAGAAGCACACACACAGAAGCACACACACACAGAAGCACACACACACAGAAGCGCGCACACACACAGAAGCACACACACACACAGAAGACCACACACAGACACACACACAGAAGCACACACACAAGCGCACACACACAGACACACACACACACAAGCACACAGACACACACAGAAGCACACACACAGAAGCACACACACAGACACACAGAAGCACACACACACAAGCACACACACACAGAAGCACACACACACAGAAGCACACACACACAGAAGCACACACACACAGAAGCACACACACAGAAGCACACACACACAGAAGCAAACACACACAGAAGCACACACACACAGAAGCGCACACACACAGAAGCACACAGACACACACACAGAAGCACACACACACAAACAGACGTGCTACATATATCACGCGCACGTGCACAAAAGACACAGGCGCACCCGCACAGACGCATTCAGAGAAGGCATTCACACACAGAAGCACGCGCGCATGCACAGACGCATTCACGCACAGACACAGACACACAGACACACACAGAAGCATTCACGCACACACACAGAAGCGCACACACACAGACACACACAGACGCATTCACGCACAAACACAGACACACACACAGACACACACACAGACAGACACACACACAGACAGACACACACACAGACACACACACAGAAGCATTCACGCACACACACAGAAGCGCACACACACAGACACACACAGACGCATTCACGCACAAACACAGACACACACACAGACAGACACAGACACACACACAGAAGCATTCACGCACACACACAGAAGCGCACACACACAGACACACACAGACGCATTCACGCACAAACACAGACACACACACAGACACACACAGACGCATTCACGCACGCACAGACACAAAAGGACGCACATGCGTAGACGCATTCAGACACAGACAGACACAAAAGCACACACGCAGTGGTAGTAGGACGTGGTGGGTTGTGCAGTGGTGGTGCAGTGGAGGTAGGATGCGGTGGTGCAGTAGTGGTAGGACGTGGTGGGTGGTGCAGCGGTGATGCAGTGGGTGGTGCAGTGGTGGTGGTGCAGTGGTGGGT